ACCCAGGTGCAGGACCTGGGTGAGGCATGCACCAGTATGTTGAGGAAGAGGGCTGCTATGACAGACCTTGATTTGTGTTGTGTTCATCTTTTGCCTAATGAACTTGTTGCAGCCTTTTTTGTGACACACCCTGACAGCTCTGTTCTCCATACGCATCTCTACTAAGGTTTTAGTAACATCATCAGAAAGCAGCTTGGTAGTTTTCTGAGGTGTTTTTCCTTAGTGATTCCAACCTGCAAGAGGAGGAGGTTTGAGGGAACAGATGTTTGTTGATCATGACGATCTCTTCAAATAATGCAGATACTTGTCTCCTAATTCTGAAGTGGGATAAATTTTAGGTAAAATGCCTTTCAAAGGATTAAGATGTTTCTAAAGGGGAAGTTGGCAGATGGAGATGCACAGTGGTTATGTTCACTGACATATCTCCACTGTAAAAGACAGTTTTTGGAAGTGGGACTTAAACTATTGTATTTAGTCAGTGCAGTGTTGTATTTCTGAAGTGGAATAATAAATACTTCAAAGATGCAGATGTATTAATAGGGCGAAATACACCTGGATGGCAAAGCAGTATGGTTTTTACTACACTTCCTCTTTTTTCCCCCCATTGTCACTTCCTGTGGTTTGTAGCATGAGAAAGCCCAATAGCTGTACCATCACTCCTGTAAGACAGAGCTGAAGGTTAAAAGAAATGATTCAAATTAAACCTCTGTGTCAGTGTTCCCAGACTATCTTCTGTGTTCTGCTCTGCTCCTCATACCCCCTGAGAATGAGTGATGTGACACTTAGGCATTACTGCCAATCATGAAGTAAAACCATTCCAAGTACAAAATGTGTTCCAAAATGTGCTGAGCCCATGAGTTTCCATAGTTACTGAGCTGAAGAGCCTACAGCCTGGTGAATGAATGCAGATTGTTGCAAATTAAGATCTGTGCTGCTGTTGCACCTGAACTGTTCTGAAAATTTAACTCATTCGGTTGTGATACAGTTACTTAAGGTTGTCAGTAATCCTTTTAATGTCAGTAACAACCCTACGTTTTCTGAATCGCTAATGGTATTTATCAATATAACAGGATGATGATAAGAGCTTTAGGAGAGCACCTTCATGGAGAAAGAAGTTTAGACCAAAGGACATAAGAGGTTTAGCTGCTGGATCAGCAGAGACTCTTCCTGCAAATTTCAGAGTTACAACCTCAATGTCTTCACCCTCTATGCAGCCAAAGAAGATGCAGATTGATGGTAATGGTTTTGTATTATTTTAAGCATGATGCACTTTTTTTTTGCTTGAGATTACAGGAGAATTAAGTTCAAATTACCATTTTGCTGCATAAAAGCATCTGCCTTGTGCATGGTTGTATATATAACACTGTTTAACTGTAGAGTGCTTATTATTTCAGGAAGCTGTAATGGATGTGGAGTTTCTTTTTACTTCATTGAAGTAGCAAAAGGAGAATTATAATTAGAAATTCATTTTTAACTAGGAAAAATAAAATTAAATTTTAATAAAATCTTTTAATCACATGGTGCATAATTTTGTAATTAGCAGCAATTAGACCACTGTAAGCCCCACTTCTGAATTGCAGTAAGATGTGTTCAAAAACAACATGAGTAAACCCCCTTGGATAGTTCTGAGATTACTAAAGCTTGAGTATGAAGTGCATTACCCCTCCTGCAGTGGTCACTTAAGTATTGATCATCAAATCACCATTCCATTCATTGCTGTGTGCTTAGTGATCTGTATGTGTATGTGTGCGTGTATGCACACACAGAAATGTATTAAAAAGCCCCAGCTGGAAGTGGAACTTGTTCACCTGTCACATGAGGTAACTTGTCTGTTTAAAAACAGCCTCCTCAGTTCTATGAGAATAAATCTTTACTTGAATTTGTTTCAGAAAACACAAGCAAATTTCAGTGGGAAGTGTGTTAAATTGGAACTGACAGGATGAGAACTTCACCATAATCTGAGTTGTCTCAGGTTCTGAAAATTGTGTTTGAGTAAAGCTCAAGGAAGCAACCTTGGCATCTGTCATTACTCTCTAAAATGTGAGCTGTTTTAAATACTGTCACAAGCACGAAATGTTTTCCAGAATTCATGCGGAAAATTCTGTAAACTAAAATAGGCAAATTATTTACCATATGATTGTATTTACCATGATAGAAAAAAAAAAAACCCAGAAAACAACAATGTAGAAGCTATGTGAAATAGAGATAAATTCCTTCTAAAATTACCTTTGCCACTTTCTGTGTGCCAGTTGGCATGCAGACTTTTTAAGAATTCTTCTTAACCCCTGAAACCAGAAGTGGTTAATACATAAACTTCCACTTTTCTAACCTGTAACCTTAGATTTGAGTGTGTACAGTAGCTGTAATCAAAGTGCTGTGAGATGGCTTTTTTGAAAACTAACATGCATGCTGTGTTCTGCATGTCTTCCCGTGCTTCTTGAAATAGGCAGTGTATCAGGAACACAAAGATTGGATTCTGCTACAGTGAGGACCTACTCCTGTTAAAGCCTTCTCCTGGTGAGTAAGTTGATAGGTATAATAGTAAAGCAGCTGTTTATGAAATAAAACATCAGGGATTTCAACACACGAAACCATTTCACATTTTCAGGGTAGGTTATTGTGTTGAAAATTTGGAGTTTATTTCCTACAAGGAAGATTGAGAGTTTAAATACTTTTGTAAATATTGTATTCTTTTTGAGGGACTTGTTTGGTTTTTTTTTTTTCAAACAGACTCAAAGACCCATGCAAAATAGCTGTGTAGAAAGCACTGAAATCAAAGGTTGAATGAAGCAGCTAGTGAAAGTGGGGAGGAGGGAGGGGAACCAAATTAGGCATTTAAAGGAAAGAAAATAATTTAGCGGGCAACTGCAGTTCACATTATTGATCTTTCAGAGTTTTTGCTCAGTCAGTGTTATCCCTCTACAATATTCATCAGAATTGAATTGCTGGAGGGGTTATCGCATAGTTTTCCAGTTCTTCATGCCACTGTGGTTGCTTAGGCTGTCTGGTTGGAGTTAGCTACCCTAGCCTAAATTTGGGTAGCTGATAATAAAAGGCAGCTTGATAACACAAAGTAGTCCTGTCTTCAGGATTTGAAGTTATTTTTCTTCAGCAGACTCTGGTGTATTTTCTCATGGAACAGTGTTTCTCTCATTCTGCAAACAAGTGTGGAAACCAAATTTTTTTACTAGAATGGATTTAAAAAAATTTAAAAACCCAGTGGATCTTTCTCTGGCTGGTATCTTCCATGGGCTATAAATTTCCTGTCTCTTAAAGTTTCTTTCCTCTCACCAGTAACATCCCAGCCAGCTCCTGGCTGCCCTTTCTTCAATTTCTGAGCTGCTTTGCCTATACAAGTTTAGTTCTGAAGAGTTCCTACGTATGAAGTGTTGAGAAGGGAAACTCTTGCACATAGCAGCTCCCATCATGTGGAACTGCCAGTTTATAATCTCAGGGGCTATGTCAACATTAGTTTCAAGACATTGATGTTTTAGGTCTCCCCCCTCCGTCAAATTCTCCCCACTGCTTCATGGTTTTCTCTAGTCAGATGACCTAGGAAAAACACCCTAGGAAGTAGGAAGGTTTGACCTCATGTGCTTTACGTTGCATTGCAGGTGAAGGTTACAGAAGGCAGTAAAGTTGTATACGTGGTGGCATGGCAGTAATGGGATGCATGACCGCTGCACTACTGAGCAGTTTGTGAGAAACTTGCAATGAAACTTTTTTATAAAATGACTAATGGAATTTTTTGTTTGTTTGTTTTGTTGTTTTTACAGTTTACCCACACTATTTCTACCGGTGATACGCAGCATTTTGACCCATTTGGGACCCTTAAACTGTTAATACTTGTTAAATGGAGACTTTGAGATATTTTATTACAGAGTTTTTAATTAGCAAATAAATTCATGAGTACTATAGAGAAAATATTTTAGAATCTAAATGTTTCTTATATTTATGTGACTTCTCATTTATATAGTTACTTACTTTTTCTGTTTATATTCAGTCTACAAATCAAATCATTGCTGATTTTTTTTATTCTAATTTTAGTCTTTCCAACTGAATGTACTGTAATGCTTGTATGTATATGTCCCTATAAGTAATATAGGGTTTTTGTAAATTATGCAGTTACTGTAATTATCACTGTTTTTTAATAATGAAACTGAAGGTGAAAAGGATTTTAATACCTTTGTAAAAGTATCATGACACCAAGCAGTATATATTTTGTCTTTTAGAATGTTAGCTTAGATCTGAAAACAAGTCCAGCTTATTTTTCAGGTAAACATGTTGTTGTAGACGATATGGTACATGATTGTTCTTCTCAGAACTCTACCTTTTCCACAAAAAGGATTTGTCAATCAGTGGGAATTTGTCTTTATTTAAAATATAACTTGTTTTAAAAGCTGGGAAGAACTGTTAACGCTGCGGAACATGTTTTAGAAGCGATTGACTTGGTCATAACGCTCTCTGCTGTATTTGTATAGCGCATCTTCACAGTGACTGAAAACAAGCCATAAACCAAGAACTGTTTTTACGTGGGGTGTTTTTCCTTAACTGAGGAAGATAGACTTCATAATAATTCCTGGTCGTAACCCACAGGCCACAGAGAGTTTTTGTCCTAGATCCTTTTTTGATGGAAAAACACTTGTGGAAAGATGCTGGTGAAACTAGTTGTAATGGACCAACCGTGAAGCACTGCAGTCTCATCAACAGTGAAAGATGAAGGTACAGTGGGCTGAAAACTAAAGCAGTGAAGCTTCTAATAAAGGCCTTACTTTTTCTTACGTAAGTCATCTTTTGTGTTTTGTAAACTTGTTCTGAAGAGTTGTCTGGACTTTTTTATGGTCGTAGCCATTTTGGACTGTATGAGTAGAAAACGTATCCGACACTTGTAAATGGCGTATTAAAAAGCCAGCAAGAATCTGTTCAAACGGTGCATTATTTATTATGCAACAATATATATAGCATGTCTTTTTTCTTACTTGTTTTCCACTTTAACTTGCTTGTAAAACTGAAATTCATTGTTACTGTTCTGTTTTTCTATTAATCTTTTGTGTATTTTTTAGATTATGTAACAATATGTACAGTCTACTTTTGAACTATTTTTATCACAGTATTATTTATTGCTTTCTTTCAATAAAGTACTGATGCATTTTCCACTGCCAATAAAACACTATTGAAAAGCTGAGACCTAACTGTATGCAGGCAGATAATTTTGCGGTGAGTGGCTATTGTCAATAAAGCATCTTAATGATTGTTTGCTGCCCTGTAGATCTCGTTTCGAATGATGACTTTTCTCCGGTAGAAAAATGATGTTAGATGGGACATTTTCTTTGGAATTGTTCAAGTTCACTTCCATTAATCAGTTTTCGACCACCAGTTTTCAGAAGAAAACTGCTTTACCTACTTCTAGTAGTTGAACTATGGCTTTTTTAAAAAAAGTAACAAAAACTATCACACACCTTCAGTGTGTTCTAGCCCGCGTGATGAAGACTGAGGCGCTGTTCTGTAGAGCAGCAACAGTTGCTTTGTTAATAAAATGAGATGATGACTGCGGCGATGTTTGGGGAGAAACACGGGAGTTGAGGGAACCAATACAAAATTGTGCCACAATAGGGCTGTTTGTCTATATTAATATATTTGTAAACCATTTCTTGTGTAGAAGAGAAGACAGAAGGATAAAGGTATGGGATATTCGAAGCAGTAGTGAAGCCTATTTCATCATGTCCTCTAGATCAACAGCAGGATGTGGAATGCATGGAGTGGAGAGATACTGTGACTGATGCTTTAAACATTGTTCTAGAACACATCTCTTTGTCTGGCTTGTCTGTGAGTTGCAGGCTCTTTTATATTTTCAGAGAATCTCTCTTTCTAGAAAAAGCTAAAATGCAACTGCAGTAGGAGATCCTGACTCACTGTTCAGCTAAACCTCACTGCTTAAAAAAAGTTGCGTAGATGTTTCTGGTCACTGGTGTGATAGTAGTGTTCAAACTCATGTATTGTTGCCTCTCAAAAGTGAAAACAATGCGGAATAGACTTGTAAAATGTGAAAATACTTTTATTATTTTAAGGCTGTAAAACCTTAACTGTTACGGAACGATGGAATGGACGCGAGAGCTAGAATAAATGAGTGAAACGGATAAAGCCTTCTCGGAGTGGCAAAACTGTGTGGTGACTTTGTTCTGAATTACGCAGCAGAGCTGTCTCGGAGACATGGGGAAAAACACTTCTCACTGCATTTTTATACACTCCCTCCATCCTCCCCATCCCCCTAACCCCGCACCAGAAAAAAACTCCATGGCCATGGATATGGTAGTAATAGTTACTTAAAGCCTGGTTAAAGGTAACTTTGTAAATTGCCAAGTGTCTTTAAAGGCTTCAGTTGCAAAGAGTGCTCTAAAAACGAAAGTATGCGTTTTTATTTGTGAGAAGGAGATGATAGAACCATCTAAGGGAACCTTAAACTTCGATTTTTGCACGTTTAGAAGGCAGGGAGTCTCAAAACGTGCTATAACTTCATCTTTCTTCTTGCCAGCTGCTGTAGAAGATGAGAAATCGCTTGTGCGGTGCCTTACGGACAGCAGTGCTTTGTCATGCCAGACCTCAGAGCGAGGCACAGGTGGAGTGGTCCAAAGCAGAATTCGTGCTTGGAACTAGGTAGACTGGAGATTGGGGAGGGAAGGGGGGTATTTGTCAACAAAGTTAATTTTCAAATAAATAAGAATCGACACAATGCTATGTTTGAGGGTTGATAATTCTGTTAAAACTGAAGAGTTACTTGGACTTTAAAAGGAAGGTGTGTTTTAACTTCTTGATAATTCCAGTTTCAGGGTCATGGTTTTGGTGCACTGCTTTAACACAACTAAATACTAATAACTTCATTTTTTGTTAATAGCAATTATTTAGGTGAAAGAAGCAATTGTAGTTCTAATTTAGGAAGCAGCACTCTGTGGGTTTGAGGCGTGTAGGAATGGATGGATGAAAAGGGAGACAGAGATGTTGGTATTCCTACCTGTGAATGGAGGGACGGGTGAAAACTCTATGGAAGGGCAGAGCAACAGAGCCAGAAGCGTTACCCAAAAGACAGATTCAACAGAACCTCCCAGAAGCAGACTTGAAGGTTTTAAGAGCGGCACTCCTCGCTTGGCGCCAGGCCCTCGCGGGGCTCGCTCCTCCAAGCCAGAGCGCTGTCTCCGGCGCTGGGGTAAGCGTGCGTGTAACACGCGTACTCGACGGCGGCTCAGGAACGCTCTGCGTGTTCATTGTGTTTCCTAGAGTGTTTAAACGTCAGCAGCGCGTGCGCGGAGAAATCAGGCGGTGGTCATCCAGGGGTCGTGGGATGAAGTCGGTAGTCTTCATCATGTTGCCCTTTTCTGCGACCCCCAGTCTCTGTGACTGTTGCGCGCACCCTCAGCCCCTTCTTGGGTAGTGCAGAACCCCAAAGCTGGTCATAACCAGCACGATTGCCTTCTCGCTGCATGGCTGATCTCTAGGTACACGGCTGAGAATACAAACCTGGCTCGACCCTTGGCGTGACTCGAGCTTGCTCTTGGCCACGCTGGCCTTCGTTTCATGCCTTTATTGCCGTGTCGGTAGCGCCCAAAGGGTCGAGGTTCTCTGAGCCGGCTTTCTCTAGCAGACAGGGCCCCAACAGCATTTAGCCCAAGTTTTAAAATGTGCTATATTCAGTTTACAGGGTAAATTACCCCGCGTTTAATATGAAAAAAACCCTAATTGAGCCTATTTATTCTGTAAACTGACTACATCGAGCTTTAGGTGATTCGAGGTTGCTGTCCCACCGAGACTGGGAATTAGTAAATTGGGATCCTTCCTCCTAAAACCTGCGGAAGTGCTCACCGGCGTTTGTTTATCCTTTATCGCAGTGTGAGTCTGTGTATCGATTGGTAACGTTTTCCACTAGAAACACCGTTCCTTGGAGCCCGTTTCTTCCAAAAGAGGCGAGCCCCCGGCGGGTTTCCTTCTGCCACCCCCTTCATTCCCATACCCTCCGAGCGCTCCCGCGGGGACCTCTTGCCCACTGATACCGAGGTTGGGA